GTCGAGGCATAGCGTTGTCTTCTATATTCATGACACTGTTATAAAGCAAAAACGAAAATTTAGCTCTCTTTTTGATGATGGATATTTAGATGTATCGGATTCTAGATAATACTCACCCGATCGTGGATAATGTTAAAAGACACAACAAAAAACCGCAAAAATACTCTCACCGTTTATATATCTGATCCAATACCTACTAATAACTCTAATGTAGTAGCATCTACACTTAATGCGACAGAAAAAATAAGTAGTGAGGATCTGGATACATTATATGAAAAAGAAGCCAGAAGAGATGAGAAAAATAAAGCAAATATGACTCGCCTATTAGCTACTACTTTCTTTATTTATGCTATCATTTCTGGAGGATATATAATTTTCCTTAGGCTTCCTAATTTTTTCGCTGCTGTTGCTTTTGTTGCATTGTTGCAAAATAATATGGGGTTCTGTTTGTTTCTTGAGTATTTTCCAGTTATTTACTCAGTCTATAGTAATAGGCAGCAATGCTTTAATATTAACACTGTTTCAGACATGTGGCACTTTCTTCACCTTCCAACACTTTTCTTTTCTTCTAAATAATTTTAGTATTATTCGTCTCCTTGTTCTTTATTAAACATATCGGAACATTTAGTGAACTTGAACACAACCGAGTCGTCGCCACTCACTTAACGCCAGTCATTTTGAATTTACATGATAATGATCAAATGTTCATTTTGTCCGGTTTTTATTTTGTTGCAGTCTGCCCATATATAAATATTTTGTATATATAAAATATACGAGAAATCTAGTCCTTTTATTCTCAAAATCATACAAATAGATATTGTAATATATCACCGAAAAACACTCACTTAACAAATAGCAAATGAAGATCAGTTGATTAGCATATAATAAGTACCTTGTGCAATATATAGAAAATATGTTGCTTGTAATATTTAAATGATAAAGTCCAAAAATGCATGCAAAAGAAATATATATACTACAAGAAAAGAATAATAGTCCATACAATTAAACAATACATCTTTTAGCTCATTAGCCAAACCACTTATCGAAGAAACTCTCCGAACCCTCATCCTTCTGGCTATCGTCCTTGACGCTAGCAGAGTCACCCGCACTACTAGACCCGGCTGCTAAATGCTGTCTTAATCTTGACTCTAAGGTGCTAGCACTGGATACTGTTCGTGCTTTGCGAATGGCGGCTGTCTCTATAGTTGGTGGTGGCGGCGAAGCTAATACCGGCTGTAAAGAGGACGTCTCGGATTCGGAGGATCGGATGGCAGTAAACGTTGGCGATCGTAATGGCGGTGTAATAGAAAAACTGGATAATAAACTTCTATCCATACCGCTCTCTCTCCAATAGTTACTCATTGATAGTCTATGCGACCTACTGTTACGACCACCTCGAGTATCCTCCAAGTTCATCTTCAACCCTTTCGAATTCCTGGCTTTCTCCACTTCCTCTCCTCTCGCCTCGTAAACGGTACTTGTAGTACTCATGTTCGTATTGCCGTTGCTCCCGCCACCACCTCCCCCGAAAAAAGACACCATGCTTTTCCTAACGATAGTCCCCACCGAATCCACGCTTTCTCTTCTTGTATTGGAAGTACGATACGCATCCACATTACGATCGGCGAAGTATGAATCTTCGGCGAACGTATCAATACTGCCAACTGATATCTCCCGCTCATGCGAATACTCAACAGACATCCTACGCGTATGATGGCGAGTTGTATTCGGCGGTTGTTCCCTCAATCCTCCAAATACTCTACTCAAGTACCCACTAATCCCACCTTCATTTCTTTGACGACGCTTATTTTGATTGCTTCGTACCTCGTTATCGTCTCTGTTGTTCATAATACTCTTACCAAACTCTTCTTCTGCTTTACGCCTACTCTCTTCCACTTTCTGAAAATATGATACTTGTACGTCATTCACTAACATACGCAACTTGCCGATCTCTCCCAAAGTGTCTTGCATAAAATGAGTAAGAGGTAGAAATTCCTCAGGTGAGAACGCGTAAAGGTCCTTATTTCCATGAAGATCACCATGTAACGCCTTCACATTTGCCTTTTCCCCTTCAGAAATTCTCAGTTCTTCAACCCATCTGAAACGCTCCCGCAAATTTTCAACGTCTGATAAAATATTCTCGATAAGATTGTTACTTAGACTCGATAATTCCAATATGTCGAATTCCCTCTTCAATCTACGATTTAATGCTATAATATCGGTTCCTTTCAGTCTATCCATTAAGTGAGTACAAAGATTGAACAATGCTTGGTAAGGGCTTTGATGATGTGGTGAATCCAAATCCCGATTATTGGTGCTTGCATCGTTTCTTTCCGCAGGAGCAGATAACATGATTGATGGAACTCCAGTTGGTGTGGCATTCTGAGAAAGTGACGTCGAGCCACACTCATCCGTAATCGTTGCCGTATCTAAGTTGTCTTCTGTGAAAACTTTGGAATGAGAATAAGATTTGTTAACATGAATATTGTTACCACAGTAAAATAGCATTCATATTGGTTCTCACCTTCGTGTTCTTTGGCAACACCAGCACGCCATGCTTCCATCATGGCTTTGCGTTCTCTTGGACCTAACGTAGCAAACTTCGGATTTTTGAATGCTGGCATAGATAGACGTTCTGCTGATGACCTAGCAGATCTGCCTGAAGTTGGGGAGTTTGATGATTGTGAAACTCTAACTGATAGGGAACTGGGTGTAGCAGATGCAGCTCGTCTTTGAGCCAGCGGGGATGATTGTGTGGGCTTGTGCTTGGAGACTGAAGTCGATGCTCCCGTAGATTTTCCTAGACTTGATCGTCGAGAAAGACTACTACCAGTTGTTGGAGATAAAGGTGTTCGACGATGAGACGGTTTCATTTCATCCTTTGCTTTTGTGTTTATAGAAGGCACTCTCTTCTTCTTATCAGCGTCATTCTTCAAAGCAGCTGATTCGGTGGATTTCTTCAATCCTGCAGACAACAAGGAAACATTATTCCCTTTCAGAGTTGTTGACAACGGGCTTACTTTTTGTTTCTTCTTCGGTGAAGCTGATATACCATCTTTTGCCTTTGCTTTCTGTTGAGCCTTTGTTGGTTTTGCTGAGGAGCTCTTGCCAACAGTATAATTACGTTTACCGCGGCGGTTCTTGGTATTTTCTTCCGCGTTGGAATCCTGTATAGTTAATAAAAATGACAAAAGGATTATAATTTGTAAGTTTGACTGTCCATAAAAAAATTAAACGGTAAAATATGGTATTGTACAACAGACAGACTAGAAATTGACCAAAAATAAAAAGCACAGTTTGGAGACTGATAAATATATGCATTTTAGTAGATAAGTAAACGTAATAAACAAACCCTAGTAACATCTCGTTCTCCATCAGAGTCCTCGCTATATGTGTCAGTATCATAAACAATTTCGTCAGATCTACCCGCTTTATTCTCAGCTGTGGATTCGCTTTCATCCGTTAGGATTTCCTCTTCATCAACGTCATTAACCGTGTCTAGCGGCACTTTATTCCTCTTGTAACTGTCGTGTTGGCGTCTCCTTGATGCATGCTGCTGTTTCAGTGATCCTTTTATTTCTTTTTCTAATTCACCAAGCACACTCCCTCGCGGAACTTCCGGACTTTCAGGTGCGTAGTGATGATAATGATGATAGTAATGATGGTAATGGAGTGGGTTTGAACTAGATAACATTGCTGCAGAACCGGCTGGAGAATTAAGTGAATTATCAGCACCGAGACTATTGAGCGTAGTATGCGTAGTAGGTCCAAGAGAGGATGAGAGTGGAAAAGTTGATATTTGAGTGAGAATTGGACGTGGGATCGTGTCTTGTGGATTGCTTGCTTCAGCTATCTCATCGACAACTGTTGCGGTTATTTCCGACTGCTCCCCTACGCTGATCACTTCATCCGATACATGTGGAGGAAGAGTTCTAACAAATGGTGATGCAATCGATGTATTTGTAGTATAGCTTGCGGCGTACGTCGAATATCCGTGTGCACTCGCTGTCTCTATGTCTACTATCTTATCCTGTAAAGTGCTGACCTCATTCCGAGTCTCGGTCAACATTTCCTTGTATTCGGTAATCTGCGCTTTCAATTTGTCGTTAGCTGAAGAAAGTTCTCTAATCATGGCTGTAAAACAGGTATTGGTCTCTTTCAATTTGTTATTTTCTGAAGAAAGTTCCTTGATTCTATTAGCGAAATGAGCATTGGACTCGTGACTTGGAAACGAAGACCGCTGAACAATATTCGTTAGTTTAAACGAAAGCTTATATCAATGATTGTCTTCTAGTAATTGTATTTATTACTTACATTAGCATCGTCGCTGCAACTGCCTTGCTTGAAAAATTCGGAAGAGTTCTGTTTCGGCACCGAAATTGGGTATTCTTGATATTCTTTCTTTAGCTTCTCATGGGCAGTATGTAAAGTGTCTATTATATAAAAAATTAGTGCATATAGAGCATTTGAATATTCTCGCAGAAGTTGGAGCGCGTAAACTAACTTAGAATCTTATCAACTGTCTTACGCCATGCTATAATATAATAACAATATGCGCAAAATCTATTACCATATTTGGCTTTGAGCTTCTTTACTCTTGCTTCGGCAGCACTTTCTGCTTTCCTAGCAACATTCAACTCCTGCTTGAGATCCTCCAATTGCCGCCGCAATTCATCTTCTCTTTCTTCACCACGTTCCGCATTCCACTTATTCGTCATGAGCCTTTTTATGTCGTCTTCACGGTCTTTAAATTCCTTACTAAGATCTCGCAATTGAGCATCTCTATCATCTAACTGCGAAGTCAATGACTCATTTTTCTGAACATTGAAGACATAGATGCAGATCCAGGATAGAGAAAAAAAGGCATAAGTTGTTTATTCTTTCTAGCATATTCAATTTAGCTCACAAGATTACCTTTTCTAGCAAATGCTTCTGCCTTGTTGCGTCATCTCTCTCACTTGTTAATTTGCGCTGAGATTCTTTGAGTTCCCGAACAATGTCCTCCAATTCTTGGGCTCTTTGTTCAGCAGCAACACACTGATAGATCAGATTTTACAGTGAGTCTTCCAGGAACACCAAGTTATGGAAGCACGTGTGTTGCAAAAGGGGAGTTTCTGTTCTAAAACTAACCTGTTCTGTTAATCTTTTCTCCAATTCCCCCATTTCTCTCTGTGTCATCTGATGTCTCTGTAAAACAGTTTGACCAACCTCTGAAATAGGCAAATATGCATTATTAATTAAACGTATCATAAAATACGATACACAAGTAATTCGTGGACTTGTTCTCTACTATACCAGCAGCCAACCTCAGTTCTTCCTCAAGTGATCTTGCGCTTCTGTAGAACAATTGTAAGCTATTACAGTCCTCTCTTCCACAACAGCATTGTAAAGACATGGGTGACCTAGGAACTGGAGAAGAGGCTATGGCTTCGATAAATTCAAAGTTCGTCATACTGTTGATGCGAGAACGCCTTCCAACAGTCAAAGCATCATCATCACTGTTCGAGTCGGTGCCGTGAAGTGATGGTTCTATTATGCGGTCGGATTGAGGAACATCGCTAGTAGAGTTGGAGGAAAGTCGATAGAGAGAGGCCCTAGTATCAGGAGCTGGTGGTTGTGTGTTCATAGTGTGATAAGGTATCAATAAAATAAAATAAATACGTATATAGATAAGAGAGTGAGTAGTATTGTAGAGTGCGTTGGGTGGTTGGGAGAATGGTGAACAGAAGCACTGTTGTATTGGTGATTCTATCACCCCAACGCTGTGCTAGAGTATAGATTTGCTTCTTGCTCTTTGTGATATCCTCTATTTCTGTATTATAGAAAATGATGAAGGCCCAAGATGAGGGCTTTTATCTGTCATACAGACGACATATCAAACATAGCATTGAAATGCGTACATGTGACGTACTTACGTTATTTATTAATCATGTGATATATGGCATGTGACTAAGGGTTATTATATCGTTATTATTGTAAAATTTTAGGTTGCATTATTATTATTGTAAATGTAAAATGAGTTGATGAATCGGGTGGTTGCTTATCATATGACTTTTTTCCTGTCCACTGAGCAGGAGAACAAACTACTGCGTAAACAAGTATTTATTGTATGCGCTTTAGTAGGAGGTTAATCTTCAATTCAATTCACATATCCATGTTAGATGAATGCTATTCTTTCTAAATTTGTACAAGTACTGTGACCGGATATGTAGTCCGATTCACAATAAGGGCATATGCAGTAATGTTAATAACCGATCTTGTGATAACCGATTCAATGAAAGGTAATTGACGCAAAAATACATTAGGCGTTGTCCGCAGCAAGCACAGTTCCACAGATGATCACCTTTCAAAATCTATAAAAAGAAAAAAGCGTAGCCAAAACTCAGGCTTCTTATTTCGACTCTTTCATATTACTCCTTCGTACCTTTCCTTTCCAACTCGCCCCCTCCCCCTTCCCCTTGCCACTCCTTTCAACAAAGCTGAATGTCTGCTGCCGCCCAATCGGATCGTAAAATGCACGAGTATATTCTCGTTCCAATTTACTCAATTTTCCACCACTTTGTGTCTTCTCAAAACTCGGGAAACCCCCGAAATGGTCTCGGTTTACGTCAGAGGTGTAAGAATAGCCCCTTGTGGGTGCAGAATAAGACACGGTATATAAACAATAAAATTTGCCTCTATTCACAAACGTTTGCTAAACATTAACATAAAACTAACACAAAAAAATATACATTTCATAGACACTGCATGCACAAAGTACTAGACATATTCAAGAAGCAAAACCAAAGGGATGAGCTATACCCTTGGGCTCTTGAGAAATACTATACAGTATCAAAAAAAGTACTTGGAACTGGCTCTTTTGCGGTAGTCAAATTATGTACGGACAAACGGACCGGGAATCAATATGCGCTTAAAATAATCAACAAGAAAAGCATACAAGGTAATTAAACTCATTAATGGAAAGCTTAGTACAAAGTCCTTGCAACATCAGCGTCTTGCTAACATATACATGTAACATTGCCTCACAATACAGGCAGAGAAACAATGCTTACAACTGAACTCAATGTACTCAAGAAAGTAGATCACCCAAATGTAGTAGCGCTACATGATCTATTTGAAACGAAGAATGCGGTATATATTATCACGGATCTAGCGAGTGGTGGTGAGCTATTCACCGAGTTGTTACTTCAACGAAGCTTCACCGAAAAAGATGCCGCTCATTTGATACGACAAGTACTTGAAGGAGTGGCATATCTACATGACCATGAGATAGTGCATAGGGATCTTAAGCCGGAAAATCTACTGTTTAAAGACAAAGGCGAGAACCCAAGACTTATGATTACTGACTTTGGTCTATCTAAAATACTCCGTAACCACAATGACGTACTGATGACTGCATGCGGCACACCAGGGTAATTATAATCCACTTATTCAAGGCTTTAACCAAAGAGTCATTATCGCTCACGTTGCTTTTCTTGTAGATACGTTGCTCCTGAAGTACTACGGCAAGTAGGTCATGGGAAACCAGTCGATCTATGGAGCGTCGGAGTAATCATGTACACTCTTCTTTGTGGGTATGCTCCATTCTGGGGCGAGAATCAAGCGGCCTTGTTTGAAGCCATTATGTTAGGCAAATATGAATTTGAAGATGAATACTGGTCTAATATTTCGGAGTTGGGTATGTTAGATTAAGTCATGATTAATATTTATAATGTTATCACTCTCGATATGGATTCTGCACTGCATGCGGAATATTTCAACTGATTCGAACGTTTGCACGTATTCTGTTCTTTAGCAAAGGATCTCATCAGACAGCTGTTGACGTATTCACCAGAGAACCGTATTACTGCGCACCAAGCACTTTTGCATCCTTGGTTTAAATCGGCTGCAAACGTTGATCTTTTACATAACGTTCGAAATTATGTCTCGGCTCGGACAAGCTTGAAAAAGATTATGACTGTTGTTAAGGGTGTTGTAAGGCTGGAAAGGCCAGTTGCAAGGCCACAAATCGCAAGTCAAACACAGAATGATGAGAAAACGAATGGAACAGCTGAAAATGATAACGGACAAGCAAAATCTCTCGAGGCTAATGAGGAATTTGTACAGCCTGGAGTTCACCCGTTATCGGGAAACGGAACTATCACGTCAACGATTTCTCACTTTTTCAACGGTAGTTCGTCTTCGGGTTCTGGCGAATGGTCTTCCGTGCATAATAGCGATATCTCTACAACGGTAAACTACGCTTCACGTCAAGACGGGATAATCGAAGCGGTAGACAGTAAATCCGGCTCTCTTGTTGACCGAAGCAATGAAAGCTTTATAATAGCTGTCTAATCGCAAAATGAAAGACAGGAGATTTTAACCGCTCTAGACGCTAACTCTTTCATAATTCCCACTAATACTGACGACATTTTGGTATAATATTGGTCACGCAAATTGTAGATTATTTCGAACTGGTGTGCTTAGACGTCTTATTCATATCTAAAATAATTCGTATAAAAATTATATGCTGTACTTTGTAATTGTTAATAAAGCTGCTGGACAATAATTTATTTGTATAAACGCAATAATACTCTATATGCTTGACCCTGAAACTGCGTGTACGGGGAAATATTTCGCCCGAACGCTACGCCGAGCCGCATAATACAAAAGGTAGTTCCGCTATGTTAACTGATCGCTGACGAAAGCACGCAACTAAGAATACCCATGCACCCCATTATTCCGGATATGCCGTTACAACGAACAGACCATGTCTCCGATCATCGACATAGCCCGAATTAACTCCTACATTTATTGTTCAATTACTTTACCGATTCGTAATATTCTATGCATAAGTGAATTATAATTATTTTTTCCTACACGCAATTATCCGTATTATGATATAACTTTCGGTTTACACGGGTGTCTGTTATTCCGAATAAGACTCTATTATACCGGACAGATCGCCTTCGTTATAACGACGTTGCCACCGTATTACCTAATATTAATATAAGCTCGAACAGTAAAACGTGAAACCTTCACCACGATTTTATCGGGAAACACCACTTGTGACTCATGGAATAGATGTGGCATGTAGCAGAAAGAGAAGAAATGCTCATAAGAAACCAAGGAGGAAATGAACACATCAGCAGGAAAAATACCGAAGACGAGTGGGAACAGCATGATGGACATACGACCGGCGCAAAAAATAGGCAAAGAAGATCTATGCACATGATGTCTTATAAATTTGTGATGAAGCAATGAATGACTCGCTTGAAAGCTTCTGCTAAACAGTTGGAATAGGACGAGTCTCATTGTGAATAGACCTTCTTCCTAAAATCAAGTCAGCAGAAGTCTTCGAAAAAAACTCGAATATGATAGCTGCCTTGGTGAAGCAGGGTTCTTTATTCAAAGGATAATTTATTTATTTTAATATATTAATTAAAATCTTTAATTATGTATTTAATTATTTAATAGGAGTACATTCTGAATGGAAGGATAATGCATATTAATATGGCAAGCTTCAAAGTAAACGTGATTGTATTCATAATCATGGGGATAAATTTAAGCGAAAGCATTACAGGTAAAGTTTGTAGATTTATATTTACGTCGAGTCAACAATCGAAATACGACAGCGACCGGCTTTCACGACCTTGTGTCGTTTGGTCCGATGGGATTAATTCGGAAGTCTACATGCTTGTATCTATCTCCCGGCTGTGGTTCACAATCATATTAGTTATTACCAGGAACTAATCATGTTTCAGAATATAAAAAACTACAGAAGGGAACACTAAGAAACCTACTGGAAAGTCGCGCTTCTTATTATCTTTCGAACTGCTGCTTCTATCTAATTTTAGCCACGCGTATCACAGTCGTACTGGCCTATAAAATGTTTACTTGGAACAACTGCGATTAATTATGGGGTTGGCACTTTAGACAAAACGGAATCTATATTATTACCCGAGGAACGCCTATATTGAAACCTATTATTACTAACAAAACCTCACATTAAGCAAAGTTTAATCAGAATAACAAGTCTGTAAAAGAATAGCCTCCCGCTCATCTAAGCTGACTCATTTTCCTTTTTGTAAGATATCGTAAGAGAATATTACGAGCATTTATATCCCTATCAAAATTTGTTTTACATTGAGGGCAGCAAAATTCCTTGGATCCGCCTAATTTTTACGAATATAGCCACAGAATCTGCAAGTTTTGCTTGTGTACAAAGTACAACTTGACACCATATTCACGCGACTTATGGATCAGATGCTGTCGAAAGCGAAAATGTGACCATGTACGCAGTTTTGGAACCGATGTGTCGTTGCCCACGTCGGACCATTCGAAATTCAGGTAGTAATATTGTACGATAATTTTCACAAAGCCATTTAGCCAGCTTATAATGACAATCATTCACAAGACAACGGATCCTCTTGTGAATACGTAACATAACACGACGTAATCTACAATTAAAAGTAGTAAATACACAAACAATTAATTAATTAATTAAGGTAACTGTAATGTTTTCGCGCTTTGGAGTTTGTCATATGCATGACATAATCTGTAAACTCGGCCAATGTCGGTTTTGCCCCATTCAACGGCTGTTCCGCTTGGATCATAACCAGTCATGAATGCACGTACACCTAGATCCAAAGAAATCACACCTGATCCTTCCTATTAAATTATTAAATATATAATTAGTTGAAGTTTTAATTTAATAGATATATATAAAGATAAAAAATAGATAAAAACGTTTTGAAATACAGGACCTTGATTTTCAGCCCGTATTTCAAGTGGTCTGGGCATACAAAGATAATATTCACCAAGCCGAATCACAACAAGGCGACTATCATATTCAATTTTTCGTGGAAGAGGTTCTGATGACTTGATATTAGGAAGAAATGAATATTCACCACGACATTTACCCCAATGCTTTGATAAGATTGTAATAGACTGTCGAGAATCTTTTTTAGAATGGAATTTTCATCTTGAATTTTTTACGATTAGCAGCAAAATTGGAAGAATATTCTTTAAGCAAGTCATTCATTGCTTCATCACGAATGTCATAAGGAGTTTCGAGGACCCATTTGAGTTTGGTATCATTGAAGTTTTTGGCGTTGAGACATAGTGCGCGTAGAGCCTTCTTTTCTCGTTTGATATCTTCTTTTTCGACTGCGATTGTACGTTCATCGTGCCATCTTCTGTTTCAGCCGCTCCTGCTAGTTGGGATAAATGCGAATCCGTTGTACCTTGCCTACCGGGAGTTTCTTTACTTCCTTCTTGGAACTCTTGGAACTCTTGAACCTCTTGGGCAGCATTTCTTCTCCTTTTGCGATTTGCGGCTGAACGTAATCCATTATGTCGCGCCACAAATACTGTGACGATTGCAAGTAAGTCTTCTGCAAGTTCTCCGGCTTCACTACTTTCGGCACTGACATCCGTACCGAGTACCATGAGCCGAGTCCCATTCTTTTCCCACAAGCTCGAATCCAAAACGGCACAATTGGTCCTATAAAAAGGTGGTAAGATAAAAAGAATCAAAGCAAATAAATAATCAAACCTTTCGGGTTACCACCACTTCTTCGATTCCTCCTGCGTGTATTCGTTCCAGAAGGGCAACAACTACGTTTCCAGTTGAGCCCTGTTAGAGATTCGCAATCTATCGTTCAAGGTCACCTCACTGATGCTCTGAACTGACTCTGCCTTGCGCGGGTTGTGTCTGGTTGTCTCCAAGATTCCTCGTATGTCTGAAATTGAGTAGAGTCGTTTCCCACCAGGGATCCTGACAACAGAGATTGTCTTCCAGAGTCTGCCAATCTTCGCAATGTTTCACTTGAGACGTCATACGTCTCTTGATTTTACTTGCACTTTGGTAAGTAATCTTGTTTTGATCCGAGTCGTTAAAAATGTGGACTATTTTCTTGTATTTTATTTTAAAATGTTAGGATCTTTACAAAACCGGATTAGTATTATAATAAGCTCACTAATACAATAAACGTGGTTTATTCCAGAATATTCGAAATCATGTAAACGGTCCAACGTGAGCGATGACACATTGGCCACGTGTACTATCGCTTCAACGGCATCTGATCCACAATAATAAGCATAGTGAGTATCTTCGGTGTCGTGCCGGAAAAGTACGCAAAATAAGGTTTGCGGATTTTGGTTATATTCGTAAGAAAGGAAGTTTCGAATTAAGCGTGTACACCATATTGATATAGTGACGAAAACAAATTGAAATCACTCGTAACAACTTGGCTAAAACTTGGATTATCCCTCTATAACCGCTAATGTTCGACATCCAACCTCGGAATATTCAGAAATTATTTTTAAACCATGTCTTGTTGACGCGACCCTCATTCATGGCGTTAACCAATGCCGACGACTGTTACGTAAATATGCTTCATCCCGGAAATACCTCCCTCATCGCTTATCTGCAATCGAGCTATTCTAAAGAAATGATCTTATGCGCCAACTTTCATCCGTAATACTTGAAAAGCTTTTTAACCCCCGACTCTTTCAACGGTAACCGTCGAAAAGAAAAGAAAAGAAATTAGACCAGCACAGGTATTATATAAGATAATTCTTTATCGTAGGAATATATAACGAAGAAGGAGCAACATCTATTCGTGATTTAAAGTTATTCTGTAATGCTTCAGCAACGTTATATATACTGTATATTGAATTTGTATGTAGACAATGAATGATGTGTATTTCAACTAGCATCCTTTTTATATAATAATATTATTAGCATGGTCCGGTGAAAGAGACCATGTGAAGCGATCAATTTCAATACAACTATCCAATTTTAAATATTATTCGCGATGTAAAATAGAAACACAAATTCACGTTATTACTTTAGTAGTAGGAAAACTGCAGATCAGTTAGATCAGTTTATACAAGTCACACAAGCCTTTTTGCGTAAACGAAATCGTGTAGTGTAAATACCTTGTGCCTTGGTTAGAACCTGTCTCCTGTCTGCTCATATTGACATCATATTTATAGGGAAATCAAATAAATCAAACTGCATGTAGACGGCACGTTGACCTAATCGCTTTTCTATTTAGAATACTTTATGGGGTTACTGTAGTCTTTATACTGACAGTTCTATCCTTGTACGTTTGTCCCTGAGCAAAGCTAAAGATGGAAAATACGCAGCTGGCTAATACTACTTCTGTTTAAGTTGATAAATTAATTATATAATAGAACTGAAAATATCAAAATTATGGTGATAAAAAAATCAAACACCTAAAAACGAAATGGTTTATTATTATCAGAACAACCTACGAGCGTGAGTTATGTCTTGGCAAAAGAAAATTACTACCAATTTTCTATTCCACCATGACAAAATTGTAAAGCGAGATGTTACTGTATAAACTCGAATTCTAGATCTACAGATGGTGTTTGTTGTTATGTTTGCTCAACTTCTATTCTTCGCAACCTTTATTTATTTATTTTTGGTTTGAATAAGGACTTGTCTGTTATAATCTATAGATGTGAATAAAAATCCCATTAACAAGATAGAGTTGCGATTAACAGGAAAATGATTATTAAGTGATAAAGCGGTTAACAGTAACAAACACGCAACATACGACAGAAAAAAGCTGGCGTCACAACGGACATGGTCCTAAATCAATCCTGAGCAATAAACAGATAATCATATGTAATGGTTTAACGTTATTATTAATTTTCTTTTTGCCAGGATTGTCTCTGATGATAAAGAAGGATTATTATCCGACGTTTCATAATGTATGCTTATTCGAAACAATAATTGGGGAGGTATGTAAGTTGTTAGGTTGCCGACCTGCGCAAGAACACAGATTATAATTCATGTCCCGCTTTCACGTGTCACATTTAGTGGGACGAGTCCTTGCTATTATATCATAGCATAGCCCGTACAGTGACATAGTATATGCACACGCCCAGATCATACGCCGACGACACAATTAGACCAACGAATTGATTGTTGCCAGACTGATGTGCGAGGAGGAAGTAATTAGCATCAGTAATTAACGTGTATTCAGTTAAGAACAAATTGATGTCTGATGCTTCATCATCTTTCTCCCACATTTCCACCATCTCCCCCTTTGCCAGTGATCTAAACCATCTGCTGCCTATGTGCGAGATTGTGTCGTTATACCATGACATGCCAGATACACACCCTAAGTGGCGGAGTTTGGCGCACTATATATTATATTATTATTTGCATCAAAGCCCATGAGTAATTATGGTTTTGTATCACCCCAAATTTAATAAGGTTATATGTATGCCCTTGCGGGAAATGGCAAGCACGGGAGATTTGATCCGATTGCATGAAAAAGAAGAAATTGGGTTGTGACGATAGATTATACATCGAATATATTATTCTTATTGAATGCACCCTATTGTAAAAAACGTTCTATACTACAATTATACCGTGTCTCCTTTGCTCCTTTTCCCCTTTTTTGTTTCCTTACCATTCCCTTACATTATTGTGTCCCCATCCATCCCTGTATAACATTACCCCAAAAGAAGCAAACATCCACGCAGCCGTCTTATTATGCTCGTGCACTTACATCAAAAAAAATTTTTTTTCAACTCACACAACTCAGTAGTGTATTTTAGAACACACTTGTGGAAAATTCCGAGATCGATGATCAGGTATCACCTGTTCCCGCCGTTTCTTGCAGTCGAGTGGAGGGGAAGGTTTGCGTGTTTCATTCCTGTCTATTCTATATACAGTGAATAAGTAGAGAATAAAAAGTAAACAAGGGACTATCTCTACGAGGCGTAGAAAGCGCATGTTGATGTGACCCTGGGTAATTGGAACGTGTGTGAATGTTTGAGATAAGGGCCCATATAAAGATTTCAGGGGCCCAATTCTTTGAATAATAATATTACTATCGCCAGTAACATCAGACAGCAAACAGAATCCGTTAATTATTAGTTACTTATTGGTTCACTCTTATCCTTGTGTTATTGACTCTCAACATTGTTTTCTTGCTCTGTTGCACACTAGTCATAATTCGGCTTCTGAATCCTCGCCTTTGGAAGGACATTAAATAGAATGGCTGTATAATATTACGTGATTGATATCCAATAAGGAGGGAACAAGTTTATTTTACGCCACTATTAAACTCCAAGGTGACTGCTTATTCATAACATACAGGATTTAGGCGTGAAATAACGTAGTGATGACCACCCCGGCAAAGATTTATTCCCGGGCTTGGGTCATGAACAGTATATAATACGTACGTAATAATAAATAGTTCTAATAGTAAATCAATAAATAATAGGTAAATTATATTGTCGCGTTGAATACACAAAAGAGATGACGTCAATAACGAAGGTAATATAAATATTGCCAAACATATGATTACATGTATGTAATTTTTCATGTGACGCAATAACATAGATAGAATAGTACGTTTATCAATCTATTACATGTATTAAATGCTATATGTGGATCAAACCTTTCCCCTTTTCACAACATTGCCCCCCACACACATTAGCGTTAGAGACAGCGTAATTAGCCTAATTCACCTTTGACATCGACATGGAAAGGACCTGCTATTGGGCGAAATTCTGTACCCAGTGTAACTATAACGCGCGAAAACATCAACACAGCCGATACCTTATCTTGCCCGTTGAATAACTCAAATCAAACATGCTTTTTTGACCAACTTGGGAACGGCTTTTTTGTGCCTTGTAATTAATACTTGTAACTTTTTGTTTGCTATCCACACGCATACGTTTCGAATGCGGCTATTACTCAGACAAGTTTTTTAATAAGTTGGGTGCAGAAGTTGAATTTGAATATGTAACTGCTATTGTCAAGCCAAGAGACCAAAGGAATACTCTATTAAACTGAAACAATAGACATGAGAGTTAACTGTTATGACTGTGGCATTGTGTTTACGTTGAAAGCTAACATTACTAAATCAGAACTGCTTGTCATAATGGCTTTGATCGTTGATATAATTGCCAACTCATGGAAAAAGAATTTCAGGGTCATGAAGTAACAGTTGTAGATTATCTGTCAGGAAAATTCATGTATTTAATACTCTTGTGGCGTTACTGTGAGTAGAATCTTGATGAGTGTCAGTCTTAATATGGATAGTATGTACGTTGTATATAGACTGAGTTTGCGTGTTATGCACATCTAGTGTGATTGTCACGATTTGTTATTATGCTTTGGCGTTTCTATTGTAATATTTGACATCATAGTAAACAGTAACGATATATGTATGTATATGCACACGATACAAACCGATTGGTGTATACTGTCTTTCCTATATTTCCCGCATGTCTAATTAATACTGAATATTGATCATTACATCAATGAGAAGGACTTTGTATAGGCCATTACATCAATGTTTTGTACCAAATTTCCAACTGAATGATCACGTCATAGTCACCCAAATAAATAAGGTATGGGTTTAAATATTACAACACAACTACAGCTGTGGACGACGACAACAATAACGAAAACAACAAACAACAACAGCAATAACAACAACAACAGCAGTAACAACAGCAACAACAGCAACAGCAAGAACAACACTATTCCATCATCACACAGACACGCACTCTCTCAGGGTCCTCGAGCAATCAATAAACAGGACGAAAAACCGGAATATCTAAGGTAGCAGTCATAACAACGAGCAATAACAAATAGTCACGCTTATGTAACTGGTTACCATAAAAACGAGGATGCCTATGTGTTTACTGTATTTGGAAAACAGGGAAATTGTAAGTGTAAATAAAGACAGTGGATAGTTTGGATGGGATGGAAAGATGGTAGATTTAACACATATTAAACAGACAAATATATAGATGATTGTTAATACATGATTTTCAGGCGGCAAACAACTACAATTAATGACTGCGCTAATTGTCTTTATCAAACAATAAATGAACCTGTCATTAATGACAGTTATTATGTTGCATGGTAAATCTATATTCTGAATGCAGGGGGAATATGCTTTGCCACGTCTAACCGCCTAATGTGGGTTTAATCTTATTCAAATTGCAAGTGTTTAGACGTATTTGAAAAATATATACAATTTACTTATTGGGGCGAATACTCTTTGCGCTTGGATAAATTCATATGAAACAACGAGAGTAATTTTTATGATGGTTAACCACACTTTAGGTAGATCCTTGCGCATTTCAGAGGTCTTGATCGGATTGGCATAGGTGTAGAAGAGAAGGCTGTTCTGGTTTTTGATATCAGCAACTGTCATTAGATTTTTTGTTAATCTTGTCAGAGCTCGTCTATTATTGTTGTCTGTAAGCAGTTAAAGTTTATTTATCAATATTTTACTAAACAGTTCACCTGATCTATCGATCTGCACAATACCATTTAGTCAACAGTCTTGATACACATCCGAAATCTTCCCACGTATGGGACATCAAAAACTTCCATTGTCCCTTCAACACCTAATTTAGCACATGCAGGAACAGGAAAAAAAAATGGGAATGTTCAGTGTTATATTCAATCTGTTTGTTTATATGTTCCACATATTAACCCTTTTTCAATAACCTGTGGCAAACATCAACTATGAAAATTTTCAGAAGATAGGGACTTCACTAATTATCTATTATATTCAAATTGCAGGATATACCGAATATATTATATTCAGTCGCTAATTATACAGCGGCCGTGAAGAATGAGACAAAGAAAAACATATCATAGTAACTTCCTTGTTTTATGTATAATAATAATTTTAACACTGTCTGCAGTTTATATTAATTCAGCCATTGATATGATTTCGCAAAACTTCAAAGGCCTATTTCATTAATCATTTGCGCATTAAATCGCTTGTTTCAGTGACAGGTTTTCAGTAAGTTCGTGAACTGATGCATTTGGATAAGAAACAGGAGTTGTTAACAAGGGAAAATGTCATCCATGTAATACAGTCGGTATTGAGTTTTCTTCATGAAAGGTCCTGTTTCGGTGTCGTCCGCGAGTCTTCGTATTTACGCTCATTTTTCTCTACACGCCATTTCAATTGCGATGCTAAAAAAAGATCATGCTTTCCCATTAACTGTATTTTACCATGACAAATAGTCGATGTGATATAATAAAAACTAAATTATGACAAGAGCAGTAATAAAACTTGGTGCAGGAATTGCCTGTCCGTTCGAACCGGAGTAGGTATAAACTCGTGAAGATTAACCATGATGTTAAACCATATGCATAAGTTATTTTTGTTGCCTCAATTATTCAATCCGTTGCAAGCATTTCATTTTCACGTTCACGTCGTTTGCAAACCACTAAAGGCTAGATTATTAAGATTTCCTGGACAATAATTGGGATCCGATCACTTCGCATTGTGGACAATATGTATGCTCATGTGTTTTAGGTGACATAATCCGTGCGGATAATTCTGCAACGTAGAATACGAAAATAGAGAGTACAAAAAGGGAAGAAAATAGACATGAGGTTGCCAAGATGAGTAATGAATAAAGAAGGTGTTAGCATAAATACAGTAACTTATGCTCTTATTTGATTTCATTCAGCCATCTCATTACTTATTCGTTGTGTTTACCCCTCTTCTTAATTCTTATCCTGAACTCCGACCCTTTCCTTTGTTCTATCCAAAAATCGAACATGCGTACGGTTCAATAGTCAAAAATTGGCGTAGAAAGAAAGAAGAATTTGGGGGCGGGTGTGGACGATTATTGTGTTTGGAAGAACGATAAGGTAAAAGTGTTCCCTTATCAATTTTTTCCATTTCGTAAAGTTTTTTTTCCCTTCTACTCCATCCCTTAACTGATGATTTAGTAGTTTATCGGTTAAGACTGTGTGCTTGCTGGAAAGTAATAAAGCAATTAGTGATAGAAAATACTGGTTTTGCTCTTTATGCATCAACGCAATAATGCAACAACGGTGATTCCTAATAATCATTTGTGCAATCATCGAAAAGACCAGATTTCTCTACCAATCCCTATTATAACAAAACATGGATGGGCGAATGTAAATATGGTCTGCATGTGTCTTTAGTGTAACGAAAGATAGGGAAGGGTGGTGCGGAGAAGGCATTTGTGTGGGGGTTAAGTCGGGTTGGGGAGGGGAGAAGATATATATTAAACGCAATGAGGAATTACCATAAAAATATTAAGCGACCGTGACGTACGTACAGTAACCGTAATGTACATCTCGTAATGTAGTACTGTCGGATGTTATGATACCAGTGTGGAGAAATCGCCCGTCCCGCACGGATATCTCGATAAATAAACAAAATAACTAGCACAAACTATTAGCAATGCGTATTACAAGCCTCTCTATTAATCACACCTCATGTAATATAGTTTCATTATGGTATGTTCCGTCAATTAAACCTTCACAGTGTTGCATTTGCATACAGTTCTAATTCACATTGACTTCAATTGTCACAGGCATCATACTTTTTACCACATATCCCTCTTGCTTTGACGGTACTTCTCATGTGCTCTGCCTTGCTTACTACTCTACAACCGATGTGACAACACTTCATAAGCGGATACCTAATCGGCAATCATTTATGAAAAGTATTCAAATATTCAGAGTGTGATATAATAGTTCGATCCAATTCTAAATTCGATCCGTATATTTTATGTACAACAAACATTTATATGTATTATATAATATTATATAATACAATGAATAATGAAATTTAATCTTGTACCCGACTTGTGCATTACTGTATAATTATATTATAACTACATATAGAATTTATTAAAAAAGCCTGTTCTCCCTGCCCTACATCATATAAAGCCGCGTTCAGGCTATATCTTTTAACCTTTCATCATCCCAATTCCTAATACTTTAATATTTATTTCTTACAAGTGTTACCTCTCTCTCTCTCTCTCTCTCTCTCTCTCTCTTCTCTCTTTCTCTCGCTGCCCTTTTAATCTTCGCTGTCGAAGAAACGACTAGGGTGTGATTGTCAGAGTGTGGATTGCTTGAGTGTGATTAAGTAGACTTCACAAAGATTGCACTCGACAACTTACACAACACAACAGCAGCAAGCAGCAGTTGATAGAAATACAACAACTATCTAAAGGGAAAACCAGCACACTGAATAAGCCCTGAATCCACAGCCACCTGGTAATAAGATTGTTCCGAAGTTAAATGAGAGAGATTACCCAAGTTTTATTTATACTAACTACTATACTATATATATATATATATATCTGCAAATACGGTCTTTCTCTAATCTAATCCTCCCCTGCCACGCTCTATCTATTTATAACATTTATTTGCATGTTCCCGCCTTTTCCCTCTTTCATCCCTTTTCTCTGATGTTACATGTTTATTTGTCGTGAGAATAGCAAATCCCATAAACAAAGGTGTGGAAATAGCAGTCGCTTTCTTATAAACAAACTGTCATTCATATGTTCCCTGGAAGGTAAAAGGAAAAGCCAATATATTGTTGTTGTAGTGTAATCTATATCTTGTGGTAAGTTGTGGAAAAAATACAAAAAAAAATTTTTTTTTTACAGAAAAATACTACACATAAAAACTACAATAGATCAAACAATATATATATGTCTGATTAATTTATACAATCTATTCTCTTACTCTATTTATTATCTTGTCCATCTTTGATATAAATACACCTTCTCTCAAACACATCCAACCTGCGATCATAAACGATACGACTTTGTTCTTTTCCTGTACATATCACATCATTTGTACATAATATTTTCGACTCGATCAAATCCTGAAACATTCTCATCACATCTTATATACACAACAAAGCCAGCTACTTGTCAATAATCTCTCGCTACTCGAACGCAATCAGTCATACGGACTTCTTCACGATGACCTACTTTGAATATCAATGCCAACAGTCTTCATTTTCCAAGCCGTTCCCGTATTCATTCTATACTCCTCCATACGACTGCGGTTATTCACAATACGTTAAACAATATCCTGCTCCACAGCTACCACCCTCTCCTCCGAATAACACGCCTCCCCTCACTCCAACCACTGTCGATTCATTGCACGCGTCGAATACGAGGATAAAACCCGAGATGGACAGTAGTGTTGCCTCATCACGTGTAGGAGCACATTCACGTATCGATGGAGGATTATTAGAAGAGGCTAACGGTAGTCAATACAAGGCAGCATCCGAACAAGGGATACAAGGAGAAATATTAAATGCAGACGCGTGTAAATTCAACGGTCGTCTTATTGGGAAAACATCATCCGGAGACATTGTCAATCTCCTCAATGATATCGACGAGTCCAACGGCTACTTGATCCACTCCTGCAATACATCACGTAGGAATAGTACAATCTCTCTTTCAACTACGCTTGCCCTTCGGGAAGGGTCAACTCGTATACGATCGGAGTACACTGATACTACTTCGCCTTCCTGGACATCTACTAAATCACACCAGAGTCTCTCGCTAGCATCTCTCTCGCACGTTTCTCCTAGCATAATTACTGCTGAGGAATACATGCATAAAATAAATATGAACATGAACATAATTCGTAATGATGATGAGAGAGAGTTTGAACTAAGAAACAAGAAGAAGAGAGTTCCCAATATCGAAGACGGTATAGAAAGGGTGAACAAACATAACAGGGCCGATAATGGGGTCATATTAACAGATGCTCAAGCGAATATCACGACGAATGCCGAAAACACTCCTGCAGTGGCTGCTGGACAGAATGGAAGCAATCAGAGCAATGCAAGTAGCATAGCCAATGGGAAACAAGGCACAACACAAAAGAATAGAAAGTTTTTCTGCACCTGGGAACCTTGTGGGAAGAGTTTTACTACCAGGTGAGCTACACATGATCGACGAATTACGAAAGGTAAAATGAAGCAACTAATCAAATATAACATTTATTCGGCAGCGGTCATCTGGCTCGACATTTTCGTATTCATACTGGCGAGAAAAACTTTAAATGTTTCTGGCCCGGCTGCGAGTCGCGCTTCTCCCGTCAAGATAACATGATGCAACATTATCGTACCCACACATCCTCTCGATCGAGACATCGACGAGAAAGTAGAAGTCTCCCTGTAATAGGGAGAGATGGGAGAGATACTAACAGAGATATGTATTTTGCGAATGTCAACGGCAACAGCGCAAACATCCGAAATTATCAGCAACCGTTTGTTAATGGGTACGGACAGTATTGTGGCCAACATGGCGAGCCATACGAAGCTAATGCAGTGAATTGCGTTCAAGGATATGCAAATCAACAAATGCAGCGGGTACAACCTCACATTCAACAACTCCAATCTAATCAGTCAATACCGTGCCACAGACCTCAGTCACATCAAGATACTTTACCGCCTTTGTCTCTTGTGGTTGGGAATGCTTTCTTCGGATCCGATGCTAGCTCAATGAGTGGAAGAATAGGGAATTTAGGGTATGAGGCGCAAAGAGAGACATATAGGGAAAGGGTGTGATAATAACAGACGATAACGGGGGATATTTTAAGAAATACGTAAAGATTAGAAGATGGGAGAAACGGCATAGAGCACGTTTAGGCTGTGATAAGAGTAATAGTTTTATGATTATACCTATAGTTAGTTAGTGTTAAGGTGTTGCAAGATCATTCGCGCAGTATTCGCGAAATGTAATGGAGGCACCCCGAATACGACGTTTGATTTTACGCCCCCTTGCACTTCACACGTTAACTTACTAATGATCGAAGACGAACATTTTCCTTAAATTTGAAGATTTAATTTTTAATGTGTAATATATAATCTTATTCTTCACTTTCCAGTGGTTACGTTTTTATTGCGCTTGTTTATTCGTTCGCCATCGTTGATTGATTTGTATCATTGTTGAGCCAGTAACTCGGGTGCTCGAGTATTTATTGCACTTGAACGTTGTTATTGTCAAGTTGCTGGTGTTTTCGAGCTTCCTTTCCACGTTCTCGTAATTATTATATGATCGTCGATTGATCTTGGCCCCTGAGGTTACCCCTCTCTTTATTTGCTTGCGCACTACTTTTGTGTTTCACCCGCGTTCCTTAGGAGGGACTACTTGGGACGTTGATAATATTCTTTATGGTATATTTGTACACATGTCGTCAGATAAGACAATGTGATTTGATTTCATCACACGTCATTTGCGCGCCATGACAATTGCGATTTCTGCAAATTTCCGATACCACCGAAGGATAGACTGGCCTAGATCGGTATGGTAAATGTGATCTGATTTTAGAGCCGAAAATAATGATAGGTCCGGATTGTTAATACCTTGATTTATGGTTTAACGGATTTGCCTTCCTTTACTTGACTCTTCCCATATGAAACCATATTGTGGTGGCTGACATAATTGTGTAACACGACATCCACCCCCCGGAGAAGTTTATATATTGCCAAAAATGACCGATTCGCGCACGGCAAAATAGCGATAGGGCTTCTTTTTTTTTCTTATGATTGGAAATTGATCTGCTCAATCGATGACGACTATGGAAGATCTCGTCCTTTATATAGAAATTTTACCCCGAACATCGGGAATGTGTCTCTATAAAAAGTAACAATCCGACGGGTCACACGATCAAACTTCCGAAAAGTGTGGTGTCGGAAGCAGGGCTCCATCAACATTTATGAACTGATTAACCTCGGGTTTCGTTGCTATCATGTGCTGCCGGGGATATCTGCATCTTTAAGGACTTGTTCGCCAATAAGGAATTGTGCACAAAGATGTTTACTTCAAGTCGAAGTTTCGTAGATTAGATCAGTGAGTGATGACACAGTTCCGTCTGCGTAACCGCAAATGCCAATGCTCTCGTTGTCGGAGTTTGGAATTCCCTAAGAATTAAGAGTAAAGTTAGGGAGTAGAGTTAAGGGGTTAGCTTGTTGCACATTTTCTAAAGGGAAAAAGAAGCAGAAATAAAGTTAGGGATAGAAAAGTAGACTGGATAGCAAAAGAATTGAGGTGTAGAGTTAGAATGCAGGGAAACGTAAAATCGATGATTCTAGTGAATGGAAGAATTTAAGTATACAGTATATAGTTATAGGCATGGGCGCAAAACGAATCACCAAAAGCGGTAATAGCATTCGTTGGGGATTTGTATTGTATTTTGTCTTTAGAGCATCTTGCCCCTTGTGAATGAAAGACATTACAGCGCGCGACGAGCTGAAGATTCGGCCTTTTTGTAAGCATAAATTTCTGTTATTTCAATAACATATTATTTCGTCACTTCATACGTATCTAGTTTTAGCATTTCTTTCGATAATATGTCTAGCGTTAGTTGTCTTTGACTTTTCATATTTCTTGATCGGTCTATCACCGAAGTTTCCTAGACGGCATACTATTAGATGAACCAAGAACGAAGCAACAATGCTACGAAAAGCATCGACAGTGAGAAAACAAGCACTTATGTAAAATGAAATTGGGACAAAAACACGTACGTGTATTAACTAGAGCAACCAGCTAGAAGAAATTCGCTTTGACTCTCGGTCGTCTGCATGCTTCTGTTTCTTTTGTGGCGGAATTGTATTTTAACATGTACGTACAAGGATAATGCTGAGTAATGCCGCTGTGTTTCGCACAGTGCAACATTATCTTAATCTTCGGCAGCTTGACAGTTGGCATACTATAGAAAACAAGCATTTTGGAAGTCACCTAAAAATAGTCTGCCACATCAAATTGGGTCAGATTTTTTGCAAAAGTCTGTGAGCTAGCGTTTATCGGGTATCTCAGGACAAAGAACGGCTGCTTAGCGGGAGTGGTTACATACATAAGTCTATTTGACAATTCTTCTGGTCACCAGCAATGGCACGGAATTATCGTACATACTAATACAGCGCGTACCAAGAATAGTCATTGTTTGTATAGAGAGGCATCTCTCTACGAAAAAGCACAACCAACTCTAAGTTAGTAGTTTATAAAACCAGCTTCCCGAAATATGTAATTACACAAATTGAAAGTTACAACAAGGCATCAACCATGAGCGTACTTCCTGATTTATCAAATTATTGTGAATGTCTCAAATATTGAAGAGTTAAAGCTGATTTAATATAAACAGAGAAACTTGATATAGCGCATAGTGAATGTGATTCAGTTAGTCAAAAAAGGTGGCGAGTCTGCTTTAACAAATATAATGATGGAAATAGAATTCCATACTAAAAAAATTGTGATAGCTGAGATATCAAATTTTGCAATAAACTTCTTTAATATTAGCCCAACATCTTAATCTATAATAATAATGTACAGAGGTTGTAAAAACAATGAACAAGTTGTCTTGCTCGTTTCTGCACTGCCAGCATTTCAAATGTTGCATGGTATATATATCGAAAACTTGAAACAAATAGTTTTTATTATGCATTATTAACAGGGAATTACTTTCCTCATCAGTCTCTATTTATTATTATATTACTATTGATTTTACTAAATTAATTCGATGAAATAAATACCATTTTCCGTCATAAAATTTTTATCAGATGTTTAGATACTAATGTATATTTTTTCACATTTTTTAAAAAATGTTGATAAACGCGGAATTATTTATTTCCCATGGGGGCAGACTGACAACAAAATCGGACAGAGTGAACATTTTATTGTGTGAGCTAAAAATTGCTATGTGGTAAAAACTTGACTAGAGTGACTTTTTGTTTTGATTCAGTATTATTAACACAGATATCATTATGGTCATGTCTGAATATATAGGTTAAATATTATATCTGTGTTAATTTGGTATCAATAAACTAAATTGAGATAAATTCATCATGAAACCAAAAAATTACAGCATTATTGGAAGTATTCTAAAAAAGATCAAGGAGAAAATTGTACCATTTTCCAATATACAGTACAGTGGTTGTCATAAATATCTGGAATTTTGATCTGGTGCAGCGGAGAACATTACATAGCATAATTAATTGAACAATTTAACTTTTTCCAGAGCAAAACGTCAGTTTTGTTTTCAACAGGATAACTCCCCTATCTACAAGGTAAGCGAAATAACTGACCTGTTTCAACGTCATAGTATTCGCATTTTTGATTAGCCCCTTTATTCGCCAGATATAAAATGCAATCAAATATGTGTGGGTAATACTAATACTTAAGAAAAAGTAGAAAAAAAGTAATTTGCGGTTATTAAAAAAAATTCGTCAGGAATGAGAGCGTCTGAATGATGATCTCTTCCTCACGCTAGCGAATAGTATGAAAATCGTGTTGCAAAGGTAATTAAGTGGAAGGGAGAAAGAAATTTTGTACATAACTAGTAACTGTGTTTGGCAACATAAGTCTATACAAATAATGCAAATAAAATTTTTCGTTTGTGAGATTAAATTTCGGATATTTATGACCACCGTGTTACATACAATTATTCAATGACTATGACTGACATATTTATTAAAAGCTGATTTCATTTTTGGACTTTAATTTTATACCAATGCTTAAATATGTTTCAAAATAATAGAAAGGCAATTTCGTCAGGGAATTAAGTTTGTTGTTTCACCCTGTTCAACGCATCTAGCCTTTTGAGCTTCAGTTAACAGGGGAGTACCAATTAGCAGCTGGTTTTTGTAAAACAGTTTATTTAAATGTCTCTTGATTGTGATGTACATTTCTTCTATAAAGTTTTACATCAAAGATTGAGTAATAAGTTGACACCGAAAATCCTTGCTACGTCCGATGTAACCTTTTCTATGGGGGCTAAGCTCTCGTTTTCTTCAACTTTATATTTAATAGTAACAATGGAGAGTAGGTTGTTAGCTAATTTATAAATTTCTTTGCGCATTATACACACTCTATCTAATAGTTAAGAATTCAGAAGTAACTGAAAGTCAACGCTGTCAAATTATTGATTTTACAAGGCTGGTTTTTCGAAAAATATTATTAATAAGACTTTAAGCTTTACTAAATAATGATTACGCAAACAATTCAAAATTATCGTGATGGAAAAAGCACAAAACTGCACTGGAAAGTGATCTTTAGGCGACAGGACAAACATGAAATAAACGCAATGGATTGATTATTCTACATAAAATTACTTGAGAAACGTTTATTGCCTTACAGTAATACCAATTAATGAAAAAGGTTATATGTTTTAACAAGACAATGCACCCGTTTACACGGCCAGAAATGTTAATGAGTGGATTACTATTACAGCAAAGAAGATCAAGATTGGCCAAGTCAATCGCCTGACTTGAATCCAATTGGTCAGAATTGGAACGTCGTATTCGAATCATTCGAATCATCAAAAAAATATTAGTATTAGTGAGTTAGAAATTTGCCTTACAGGACGAGTGAGCTCAAATTCCTGAACATATTTATGTAAATTCATCGAAAAACGAGTTGAAGCATGTGTAATACTTACCTGGAAAGCTGTTTTATAAACTGTAAAAAAAATAAGATCAATTATTGTGTGGTTATTGAGCAATTTAAATTAAAAAGGGATGTTTTAGAAAATTGTATGTATTATATTAATGTGTGTTCATTTACATACAAAAATTTGTTGTAGTTTAAATCACGTCTACATTTGGCTATGTTTAGACCAATAACATTAAAAAAACTCAGATTATAAGCTCAAAAATAAGGCCAGTTTGAACTGACAAGCTACAAATACCGTATTCTTTGAAAAATAAGCAACACCTGTTTTACATGGGTTCCGAAAATAAACAACACTTCGGAAAGATTAAACTTTTTAAAAATTTTTTTTTCGTTTTACTTTACTACCCGAAAATAAGCAACACTTTTTTGTTATAGTGTTGCTTATTTTCGGAAAAATACGGTATTTATTATAAATATTCTAAATAACAGACAAGAGGTAACATACTTAATACCGTGGCACAAACTACCAAGACTTTGCTAATTACATGGCAATTTAAAAAACTCTGAAAAATCTTGATAAACTCGGTGACGGTGTTTATAAAAGGGACAACTAATCAGTAAAATTAATAAACCTCTAGACCAGTCAGTTTTAATTTGAGAGTATTTGGGACAAAGAAATTCTATTTTCAAAATAAAATGCCTGTCTAATATTTATACTTAGGCTCTCCAACAGCTGGTTATAGAGAATTATACTCAACTATCAAGATTATTGCCTGATTTTAATTTGCAGCATTTGCTATTAAAAACATAATTTTTTTCAAAGTTGTTTTTACCCGCGTTTTTGTAGACAATAGTCAATAAAATTTACATCATTCAGAAGTCAATTAATTGTAGTTTATGAAAAAAGACATGAATTTATTCATGATTTAGCTATGTAATGTTCTTCATTCATCTATAATAATACTCAATCATTGATCGACATTAGGTATCGTTAGCCAACACATTTATCCCACTCTTCTTTTAATGCCGCAAAAAGTCCGTTTCATTTGGAATATTCGGTCATTCTCCTACATTCTCCTCTAAATGGGCCATAACGTTTGATCTGATTTAACAAAGAATGATCAAGTTCATAACACGACTTCAAAAACATATGAAACAATATTTAGCTAACCTTCAAGAGGTCTTAAATACAAGATGTCTGACGTTCAAAAATTGCAAGAAAAAAAAGAAGTAATGACGAGAAAGGCAAGAAAATTATTTATAGGGGAAAATTAACTAACTAAATAAGTTTGTGTTAATTTGGAACATTCCGTCTCTGTACATGACAATGTCGACAGCTGAGTCGATTATTGCAACAATAGAAAAAAGAATTATCGGAGGAGGAGAATTTCCAATAGCCAAATCCATTTCTTTCAGCTCTCAAACATTTAATTCTTGCTTTTATATATTAATCAAGACTTGACGTTGGTATACTTTCTCATCCAACTTAATAATTGAGACTAAACACAGCAAACAAGTATTTTTTTATTTATTATTAATTAAACCGTTAAATTGTTGGTCGAAAATTGGGCAAAGCTATGTAAAATTCGGCTTACTGCGAAATTTAATAAAATAAAATCTCGATAAGCCGATAAATTCCGATCTTCGTCTTATCAAGTTTGACTTCTACGTACCATTGGCAACCTTTGAGCTTTGACAATCTAAGGATTAGCTGCTTCAAAAAAAAGCCCGATATTTTTGCGAACCACTCAACTTTTAAGGAAAATCTCCAATAAAGAGTTGAGATCTATGTATTGAAAATTTTTTCCCTTATCATAACACTGAGTTCTATTTAATCTAGCTGTACTCCAATTTTTCACAATTTCAACAATACGCTTCACACAATCTACCACAGTTTTTTTTATAAAGTTTTTTCATCAACCCAAATTTAGTAAATCATATGTTCGGAATAGTATTTGTGAAGCAAAAGATAATAAAATTTTATTAATTGCTTCATACAAAGCCCTGCCAACTGTTGGAAGGCTGGTAAAAGTTTCCAAATAATTGAGCAAAGTCGTTTTGGACTTGCATTGCAGACTGCTGATGATTGGACTGAACAGTAGACGTGATGTTCCACCGCTAGTCTCACAATATATTTCTATTATATCGTTTGGCGTAATTAGTTCGGGATCCAGTTTCCCGTTCAGAGTGGTCAAACAGCCATGCTTCAATAATGATTCGCGTTCAAAGTCTGTTAATTCCGCCATAACTGCAAAGAATTTTTTCGCAAAATGATATGATAACACAAACTGCGCCTTTTTTACAAGCCTTATATTATTATCGTTATGCCCCACCTGACCCAGATCATATATTAATATTCTACGCTTCATATAAGGATTTGTTCGGTCTGCAAAATGCATACGTGTTTGCTTATTACTATCGTAAGGTTTAATTGTTTCGTTTTCGGTTAGATATAAGCAAACTCTAATGTACAACAAACTTTTGCAGAAATGTATGTCACAAAAGCGCAAATAATGTTATCATTATGTTTGGGCTTTTGAGAAGGCACGTACAACTACATAATTTAAAACGGTAACAAGTCAAAGTACTACAGCAATTGCAAGTAAATCGGAGACGGATTCTCACCATCCACAATAGTGAAGTACGTAATAGGAAGACAAAAAGTCTTAACAAAATGAAACATTTTTCAGAGTTCAACACAAGAATATAATAAAAAGTTAAATGCTAAGTATATGCTGCATCAGCTGACAATGAGGTAAATACTGCATCCTTCTGAAAATATGCGACTTCAGAAATTAAAAATTTTATAATAAATAAGCAAAACAAAATAAATAGTTGATTGTTCTTGTATCATGGCTTGTTGTGCAAATCACATGAAAATCACGGGCGTGCATATAAATTTATCCATATTAATATTCCCTAATTCCCGAGCTTGGGAATAAACTATGGCGTGCATGTGTGGAGGGTATGCATACTGTATATGGAGGTGCTTATATGGAGGGTTCACTGTAATTTCTGGGAAAACGGTGAGAGGAACACAATCTGTTAAACGGCGTAAATTAATAATTATAATAATATTTCAAAGATTCGTGTGTCCTTTATTAATAATATTTCAATGAGTTCTCCTACTATTACTATAACATAAATCCTGATGAGGAAATAGCTCTACGTTGCGGGCTAACGTTCTACCAACCCACTGGGTATCACTCTAATCCACGGAGTTTATGGAAGGGAAGGATTTTAATTTCCATTCGAGAAAGTGCGTGACTGGCTCATAAACCAGAACGAGTGGCAAAAATATGCTTTGCCATTACAAGAGTTAGTTACGGTACAATTTCATGCCCAAATGTGTATATCAATGCGATCTTTTGCGACTTATCAATGATAAAGTGTATAAAAAAGTATTCAAATGGGCTCTTGACGTTGTAGATGTCGCTAGCAGATTCGAATGTTCTTTATCTCTAACGTCAAAAAACAGTTCAGAAGTTGCTAAAGCCTTTAAAGGAATTTATAGATCCACTTCTGTGGTCAACACTTTACAATGTGATCAAGGCAGAGAGAGTTATTGGGGAAACCGCTCGATTAATGGAAGCACATAATGTTACGATTCGAGTAATTGGTACATGCAGTCATCGTGGCATGGCAATTGTAGAACGATTTAATAAAACGCTTGTGAAAATGTTATACAAAGTTTAACATGCCATTGAAAGTATATCATCAAACCCCAAATTAATAAGAGTATGGGTTAGACAGTTACCCAAAGCTCTTGACTATTTAAATAATTATCCAACGCGTCTCATTAGAGCTCCTGGATCATCGCGGTGGGGTTTAACTCCAGTAATAGGGAAAAAAGTTAAATGAAGGCGACACGGTTAGATATTTATTTGCTAACGTCGAATGGGAAGGTGGCATGGAAAATACAATTTATCAATACACTTGACTTTTGCCGGTATAAAGTAAAAGTTTTTATATAATTTAAAGTAAACTGGTCTACATGGCATGTGTAACTTGCGCCCGGAGCTGGTATAAACAGAGTTACTGCGGGGTGAGATTAATATGGAATTTTTTGGTGCAGCGAAATTGGTATAGCCAGAGTTAACTGTATTAGTATATAAAATGAAAGCGGTGTTATTTGAGCCGATTATGGTCAATGCCATCAGCATAGTAATAGTAATAGTAGAAAACATTATTATTATATGGTTAATATGATCAGTATATATATTAATATACTTTTGAGATGAGACTTAATGACAAATCCATTGTACTATGAAAATAATTTATCCAGAGAATATAAAAGACTTGATTATTTTTATTTTGATATAGATGTGTCAAGTAAGCAAGGCTATGCAAAATGTTCGATACGATACAAATTCTCATGGAACCATCAGTTTAAATGAATATAAAGACATAGTAATAGTAATAATTATAGTTTAATTATAACTAAATAAGTATCAATACTAATACTAATAATAATAAATTCAATATTAATATTAATACACACCATTGCAGTCATTCCTTATCAATCATGATCTATTACATTTCTATCTACAGCAATCAATACTTTAATGTTAGCCAAATTGCCATTACTTATACTTAGTTCTCTAACTTTCTTAGTAATAATATCCAATTCAACTAATTGATCCTTGGTCCAAATTCCCCCCCTACAGAACACATAAACTTTGGTGTCAATAACAGTAGCACTCTTTGTATGAGACCAATTAATATTTCTTTCTTCACTTCCTTCATCAAAAAACTGTGTATAATGACCGGTCGTAACATCCACTTCCCACAAACCATAACAAAAAGCATACAATCTTCCTTTTACTTCAACTAATGCATGACAGTTACTCCAGTTGTCACTTCCTCCTCCTAGTTTAGAGATTTCTTTAGTCACAGTATCAATACACCAGAGGTTATTGGCTGACGTGGTAGCGAAGATTTTCGTCCCAACTGATGTAGCAGCATTGACTTTTGTCCAAATGTCAGTAAACCCACCAAGAAAATCAGTACACTGGCCAGTACTAAGGTCATCAACTAACCATAGCTTATGGCAGAATGCGAATAGAGAATATCCTACGCTATTGGGAACAGTCACAAGAGCATTACATGTGCCCCATCTATCCCAACTTACGTTATGAGATTCCATAGCAACAAGATCGATTTCCCAAAGATTGTTAAAAGATGTGGTAACGTATGCTTTTCGTGTCGAAGGAACTATAACGGCTGCCGTAGCGCTAGTCCAATCACCTAAATCAAGCGGTTTGCTTGCTCCAGATAATGGATTTATAACATACATGTGTCTTCCGATAGCGAGGAGGTAGACGTCTAGCAACATTGTATGATGACAATACGAACTTCAGACAGAATACGAGTTCTTTTGATGTATGAAATAAGATGGTATTGGGCTTACGCAAACGACAAACTGGTTGATCAAACGTCAAATTCGATCAGGCAGATCATGTGGCACTATATAGGAGAGATGAGTTCTGTTTAATGTTCTGCGCCATGACAATTATGATTGTTTAATTCCATGACGAATTCCCACACTTTTGTTAATGTGAATAGTTTTACTTTCCCCGCATAATTTCGAATAGGCGAAGCGCACGAATAATAAGAGAATGGCAGCCCGATAAATTAAGCATCGTGGAATTGGTTAATAAGAATAAGCGGTAATTTGGTTTATAATATGATAAATAAAACTGTCCTCAATGAAAACAAAGCTTGGTAGAGATATTAACGGTGTTCGCAATATTCTTCTTCGATATCTTACAAAAAAGGAGCACCTCAAATTAATGGTAATCATGTGACAGGTTTAATGACAATATTGTGGCGTCCGCCAAAATCTTATTATTATTAACGAAAGATGAGTTTGAAGGTCAAACTATCATTCAGGTAGAATACGAAAGGGATATATATTTTATTCAATTTTTTAACTAATGATTTATTTATATAAATTTTGCAGCGGGGGGATGGAATTACTATTCAATAATGATAAATTCGTCGAAGTTAAAATACCAGCTTTCATTAACCCACCAAATCCAACAAATATGCAAGACTTGGTAATTTATAGTGTAATGTTCTACTTTGTTATCAATAGATGCTGAATATCATTGCATATCTTAGATTTTCTGGATACGAGATAATCTACTCAAAGAAAGGCCAGGATTATTCATAAGTGAAAACACAGTGTATGTAATTCCCATGTAAATGGCATAGTGCTTAAAAGTTGTTCACCTGTTGTATTGCATCTAAATTCACTTCTTACACCATTACTTATCAGACGACCAGGTATTTTGGTATTAATTAATGAGACAGACTGGGAATTGGAAGGGGAACTAGATTATGAGATCAAAGATGGGGATGATATCGTGTTTATTTCTACTTTGCACGGGGGATAGATAGCACATTGACAATATAAATGTGCGCTTTAGGCATTCTCTGTTCATTCAATGCTCATCTTTATGCCACAGTGACACCTTCTATCGAGCAAAGTTAGTATTAAGATAGTCAACAAACAATTCGGCCACTCGATTCATGTCAAGTATCGTATGCAGCTTGTTAATGTTTGTAAACTGTCGCCTGAGACGCCGCAACTCGGAGAGCGTCACCATTCGGGACGGCAGACTGACGTATCTCATAATAGTTAAGAATGATAGTTTCGATATAGTAATCAGTATTGACTATGCTTCACACATACGAATATAAGCCAAAATGGTGACTGATGCAAGGAGAAAGGATATTTGTTGATTTACTCCTGCAATTTTCACATTACCACCGCCAATATTATGTTTCTGTGCTTCTAATACTGCATCGACTATCTCTTGTGTCGTCTTCTCTAGTTCGTACAAGTAACTGGTTTCACTCGCTGGTTTCTACGTGGATATTACGTGATGTATTATCATGTCAATGTACTTAAGAACATTCCGACTTATGATACATACCACTACAGTTGATTGATTGGGAGGTTTTGGCGATCGTACAATTACAGCATCCCAGATAGCGTCACATGAAACACTCGTATCGTCAGAGAGAACAGTAAAAAGTGGCGAATCCCATCGATTACGATCGTCTGGTTCTTCAAATCGACTGACTAGTTCGTTAAATCTTGTCAAGTACCATTAATTATGTCAATCAAAGTCGGAATGTTGAGTATCTGAAAACAGTAAACACGCGTTCGCCTAAGCAATGGTGGCCCTTACGCCGTATGTTGCCCTTACATGGACACCGCTTGCTAGCTGATACATACACTGTTGAGCCATATCCTTCTGCTCCTCTCTTTGTATTCCATTCTCTTGCAGTATCTATCGATACTCCACAATATACCTATAAACCAATTGTGCTTGGTTACATGAGAGCATAAGACTATCTTTCGTCATTTCTCATCCAACCTTCTATAGTGCTATTTACCACACAATGAGGTGTTCCAACAGCACGTGCAACACAATAAAGTTGATATCTGAATCCTTTGATATAGTTCATTCCATCTGCTATTATTAAATCATCTTTTGATAAGAGACGCTCAACCGCAGATAACATCGCTCCTCGAGAATGTTGCTCGTCTACCCTTGTATCTATTCAGCAAGCAAAGGTTATGTTTACTCTTCAAACTTCGTGAATTATCACTAACATACCTTGATAACTGTCTTTCGATATTCCCAAACTTTCATCATTAATCAAATGAATCCGATTGGTCTGCCTCTCTCTGTTAAATCGGTCATTGAAGTAGTTTAGTATTTCTTTCGCGCGTGTCGTCTTACCGCTGGAAGGTAATCCGGAGATAATGACTAAAGGCATTATGGATTGGGGTACAAAGTGGATAAACAAATTTGGCATATTTTATCGATGATTGGTTGTGCGCCAAGTCATATTACAATGTCAACACAGTTACAGTGGGACCTCCCTAAGTGCAAGCTGACGTTCTGGCGTGCACTTAGGGGAGTTGCACTTAGGGAGGTCCCACTGTACATTTTATGTGAAGCAAACAATAACAATCCAATGATAAGCACCCCACCTCAAAAATATGTTATGCTGCCAGTACAGAGAAATCTCTCTAAATGCACGCCCTCGGGACCATAGTGAGAAAATGGGCAAAGTGTGCATTTATGTGCAAGACCGTGCACTTATTTACATAGTGCGTGCATTTATGGAGTGTGCATTTAGAGAGGTCTGTAGTAGTAATCATGGCACAAAAACAACCACTTTCCTTTCTTAATCCCCCCGGAAGTGGCTGCGTTTCGGCCTTGTTGCCGCTTAATCACGAGATTATTCGTTGTTAGTGGGTCTTCTTTGCTCAATTAATGAAATTCACTATAGCCAAATACTCAAAAATGATTGGTTTGGAGAATATCTTCATTTAAGCAGCTCTTCCGTTATAACCATTATTTTATTATTGTATTAGACGACTTGTTATTCTAATAACCGCCATTCATTCGTTGTTTTACGCCAACGTATAGTATCTTGTCATTGTAGGTGATGTGACTTTATAACAACGCTTAATTATATACAAGAATAAAAAAGACTGTATATGAGTAACATGTGAATTACAGGCAGAGACAACAAATAAATTAAGACAAGATAGATATTTATAATTAAGACTGATTCTTCCCATCGCATTTTTCAATACAAAAGAAAGAACGTTCCATTCGATAGAATTCGGTTCAGGATAGTTGGCTGACAGTTCTATTATTTTTGTGACGGAAAGTCTTCCGCAATACGTGAAATGGATCACTATTTCTGCCCAATCCGTCCGAAGGAACGAAGGATCGTCTGTAAAGACGATGAATGACAGGCAGATTGGCACATAAGCGTCGTTCTCAATTAATTATTCTAAAAATCTATTTTTACAATCTTACGCGCCATTTCCTTCGCGACGCGTTGTCATGTTTCAGGATATCAATGAAAATGTCTTCAAAGATATTAATCTCATTATAATCGTTGTGCTGTTGTCCTTGTCTTGTCGCTCGCGTTGTGGTTTATTATTCTAGTGTAGTAATAATTAATAATACCGAAATATTACACGTAATGGGCCCACTGAGGAAGAAACAGGTGGCGAGAGCATATGACTATTGCAATTGTTATTACTCGCTTTGCTGCGTTATAATCAACAAATGTCTGAGTATGAAGGGGTTTCTGCTGTATCTTTCGGAACGTATACAGGATGTGCAGTCGACATGTACCTGTGCTGCTGATGAAATACTTGTATTGAAACCGGAGTGGCCACCGAACTTGAAGACGCTGTCGAGCATGTAGAAGTAGTAGATAATCGTCTACCATGTTCATCTTTAGAAAAATCTAGACCTTGATACTGAGAGTCGTTTTCTGTCATTCCGTTGTATGCATATATTATGTCTTCCATCCCGGAATCCCTATCGGATATTCCTTGGCAGTAATCTCCATATGGGATATTAGAAGATGAATCAACAAACGTTCTCGTGGATTGTAAACAAAAGGGCTTCTGGCTCGCTTGATGATATTGTTGTGCGTGATGTGAAATATGTCGGCATGACGGCAATGACATCACTGTCGTTGATGGTGAGTGGGATTGCATACCGAGTGTCCCACGAGATAACAGTTGCAGAGATTTCTTCTGTATTTGCAGTAACGAACCACGTGACTGAGGCCATCTTGCATAGAATATACTCAGATGTCGTACAAATTCTGCTTCGGTGATTCGCAGATCGAAATCAAGCAAGCAAAGTAATTGACGCTCCATCAAGTTAACTTTAGCCAAGGAAAAGATTCCTGCCCATCGAGCCCAGTGTTTGTTCCTCGGAGATGAATCATTCAAGTATTTTCTAAGGATTAATACGTTAGTTACAGGTAGAAATAAGTAACGGTGACCAGGTAATTGTCTGTCACTTACGATGCGACAATTAAAGTGGTGAGAAAGATTCGGTGGCGCGTGCAATACATTCCTGAGGTACGTGAAGTAAAATAAACCGATTAGCTTATATTTGAATAGATTGTGATGGCAAAAATAATATCAACTAACAACTTCTTCGAGAGCGAGTCAACATACACGCGTTCGTGATGAAATATACAGGCGGTGAGTAATTGAGATACCGCAGACCTCGCCATTTAGCTAAACGTCTGTATCGGTATATATTGCTCCATAGTTACCTCTAGCATTCTTTGGTAATCTGTTCTTTAATCGCTCTAAATACACAAGTGTTGATAGGAATGTGCCGGTAGATACGTTCGATCGTGATACTAAATGTTGGATAAACGACGTTAGCGATGGCACTTCTGTGTGTTCATTTAGAGTAGGATCGCACGGAAGAATAGCGGCTGTTTTGTCTTTGACATATTCTAGGCAGTCAATTGAAAGGGAGGGTGAGATTGTGAGAATGTGAATATGGATGTGCGTTTCGATACACTACCTATCATATGCGGCGTTATCTGACTCCTAATCAGAATGAGGAATGCTGGGTTTGACATGATGTGTTACTGGGGTATAGTCTGAGAATGCTGACAAGAAGAGTTGACAGGAATAGTATAAAGACGAGCTAGCGTCTGGGAATGGATAGGAGTAAGTGAGCGTCTCAGAATTTATATTTATGAGACTTTATGTCGGTAAGTATGTGTTGATATTATGTTAGAGTTGTCTTGAAATCAGCACGAGCCATAGTAAACACCAGCGAGTGATAACTAGAGAGTGTTGGTGCCATGACATATATATATGGTGTGATATAAAAGCAATGATAGCACGTATAGTTTGACACAGTAAGGCTGTTTACAAATAACGTAATAAACTAGTAATAAATAAAATAAATGTGCAATATCTCGCTTATTAGTCGATATTTATGTGAACGTATTGTTGTATTAATTGCAAATATGGTTTATTTATTTAAATCTCCATTTAGTTGTTTGTTCGATATTTTGGGCACGATTCAATCGTATTAATTATTACACTTGTATTTTGGCCATGAATGGTTTTGTAACATCGTATACTAGCATAATCTCGTATGCATATTACATTATACATTTTATTACCATTATTGCTATATATTATATAACCAAAATAGCAGGTTACATCTGCAAGTGCCAAGCTGTTTCATAATATATTAAACACAAGTCCATAACAAGTCACTTATAGTCGTATTACGCTATAAATATAACCACCCGGATCCATGTAGATAACTGCTTTCCCTTGGACCAACCGTAATTTGGACAACAAATATCGGTTTTCGAAGATGTATCTGTTTATGGGTGCATTTTCGGTTCTCTTAATATCAGTATTAATATTAATCTTGCCCTAACCAACTTTAAACGCAAAAGCATAGTACACATAAAGTCAGGGAATATGTAAGCGTTGGAGATAGTACTCAGTCTTAAGGCCATTCGATTAGAATTATTACTACCTATTCAATGAATGTTTCGCTATTTGCTTCGCTAACATCTGTACTCGCGGAACTTTTTGTGTTTTCTAGTGGCTGTTGCTCATAGAATATAGACATTAGGATCAAGTGTTTTAGCATAAAGTATGAAACCACCTGAACGTCAAGCCTCGAAAGCCTCGAGTCAGTAATTGGTGCATATGGCTAAAGAAACGGTCATAAGCGGGTTGCTGAAGAAACTAAATATAAAAGAGATTTCTTAAATTTGTAATAAATATTGTCACAACGGCTGTCGTGCGACAGTAAATATGCTATAAACGCATAATCGAAATTCATCACTTACTACTTTCTGCAATACAATTATTACAACTCATGAATCTACTTCAACCAGTACCTCAAAGCACGTTGATCGCTCAAAAACGGTTTAAACCTATCGAAACCTGTGATAACTGCAAAGAGCGTAAAGTAAAGTGTGACAAAGGACGGCCAGTATGTGGTACTTGCAAAAAAACTAATCGAGATTGCACATATGATTACTCGGCATCCTCTAAACGAGGGCGGCCTAAGAATGAATATGAATTACTCCAAGAACAATTAGAAGACATTCAGACTTCGACATTTCAACAAGTCGATCGAATAGAGTCTATATTGGAAATGGCCTTATCAGGTGTGCCGCAAGGCAATGCGTCCGATACGAATTTATTGATGACAAACGGGAACATCTATAATAATACATATAATAACAGCAACAATGACAATGTCAACGATAACAACATGAGTGTTAGTATTGTCGAACATGGTTTCACTGGCAATGTATCGATCTTATTGACATATTCTGATCTATAGGAATGGCGAGGATTATATCCAAACGTTGCAAGCGAGTCAGCTTCATTACCCAGTCTAAATTTAAATCTATCTGAAGAAACGCTGTACCTTTCCACCCAGCTCGCTGCCAGTTTGCCCAGACAACCACATCAGGTCTGTGGACGATATCTCCTAATCTTGATTTATAACTATTGTTAATAGAATCATTATTTGCCTATAGGAGGACAACACTGTCGTTGACTCAGATTTATTCATTGGACATCCATTTGCAATGCTGGAGAATAACGCATTAGATCAACTCACTGATAAAATGGAAAGCTTAAATATCTTTGAATCAAACCAATATGTTGGAGAGGGATCCTTGCTTTTATTGAATGACGGTGGAGATGAGCTAATTTTACCGCGTTGCCCCGCCAACTTGTCACAAGTAGAACAGGATTTGAAGTGTTTACCTGGAGCAGAGATAGTGGATCTACTTATTGACCTGTATTATCAGGTGCGTTAGGTCAATCATTGAATTTTGTCAGTAAATCACGAGGCAATAGTTATTTACTTCTGAAGGCAAAGACTTCCTCACTGATCCTGTGTGTATTGCATTCAAGAAAATTTATCGTCACTATCCTCACATGAAGAAGTCTGTCTTGGATTCCTTGGGTGATCTATCAACGCCACAACATTTTCTTCTCCTCAATAGTATCATGTTTGCTGCATCGCCTTTTCATCCAAGCGAAGAGCACCAAAAAAATGGCATAATTTATCACCAGGTACGTGAGTGGATAGAAACCTGATAATCTGAAAAAGCAGAAAGCTAATAATGAATTTACTTTTTGTATTATAAACAAAATTATTAGCGGGCTGTTGGTAAGATAAGACGCGTTTGTTATGATGTCGCTCACTGTGGGCTTGACTGTTCTATACGTTCATCTGTTATCTTACGTAGCCCTACTTCAGCGTCACTGCATGAGCACTCCACATGTGTTAACTGTTATTAGCCTTTTTATACTTGGTTTAAATACGCGTAAGGTAGGGATTCCGTCATTGTCTACACTTTCATTCTTGATCTCTTGATTCGACCCGTTCATCTTATCTATCAATGCTACGATTCTCAGATGGGCTCGGCTTGGATTTTCCTTGGCATGGCTTCTAAAATGGCTTTTGAATTAGGTCTTCACCGTAAAATCAAGAGTCCACAAATGACCCCTGAAGTCAAAGAGATGAGAGACATGGCATTCTGGGGATGCTTCGTTTCCGAGGCGTGAGTGAAGCTCGCCGATTCTTTGTAACTACTATATTTACAGACACGCAATATTGACGAATCGCCTTTTTTGGTTCAGCTGGGCATCTGCATGTTACGGACGTCCTAGTGCCATAGATGAAGCGATGTGTGATGTTGATCTTTTGCCCATACCTCAGACTCCTGAGCCGGATCTTGAAACTCGCCTGCACATTGCATGGATTTTACATATTGATTTATTAAGAATATTCGCTCAAGTATGTCGTAATCCACCTATGCCTGATATTTACCATCCACTAAGATGGATATGATAAACTTTGTAGGTACGTAAATACTTGTACGGAAGGGCTAAAATTGCTGGAACTAGAAGAGAGGAAAGCCAATTTAAGTTCCTAGATGCCGTTCTAGGAAAATGGTCTTCCACATTGCCGCAATGGCTAAGATTCGAAGAAATGACGAAGGATGTAAAAAACAGTTTACTTGGTTCAATAGGAGGTATGAATGTTTGGTTCAATCAATTATGTCTATGTTGATCTTACAGAAGTTACCTCTTATACGTAGGGGAGATGCATACATTGTTCTGGACAGTGATCATATTGCTACACAGTCGTAATCTTGCTATGTTTACCACACATCCTAATAATCCGCTATTACGGAACATGAATGACCCATCTATATTATTATCGCAAACAATGTGTGTTCATGCTGCTACTATCCTTCTTCATTTGCTTGACGTTTTGATGAACACCGTTCCTGATTTCTACGAGCAATCGTGTGCGGCGCTGTTCTCATTTGCGCCAGCTATCCGTGTATTATCCTGGACTGCACAGAGAGGCGATGAGAAATCAATGCAAATGGTAGAACGGTTGAAAGAAATTAAGGATCAAGTCAAAGAGATTGCTAGGAATTTTGCTGTACGAGCAGGTCTCGAGAGTCGATTAGAAGGAGAAGAGAAGTTACACAAGTGGTGGTCGGGTAAGGAAGAAGAGGCGAAGAATGCACATATACAAGACGGCGACTTTACGATTGTTGATCCAGTTCAATACAGGAAACAGTATTCTTATATTTCTAAGAAAGGCAAAAACGCCGTTAGCAATAAGCAAATAAACAATGAACAGCCGACGTCGTATAATTATGAGGGCGAATTTACCTTCACGTTCAAACATCAACAATCAAATGATAGCAACCGTTTTGTACCTCATTTATCCGATGCCATCGTTCAACAGCAGTTGCAACAGTCACAACAGGTGAGAACCGTTATGTGCTCTTACCGTTTGTACTTTTTACAATTAATTCTCGATAAATATTTCGGCTCTGTTATATATCAGGCACCTCATGTATTTACTCACCAAGAACAGCAATTGGAACAGTCACAACCTGTGAGTAGTGCATCGTCTCGACTTATTACGTATTTCGAGAAATGAAGTTGTTGATGCTTTTTCTCTTTCAATGAACATATAGTCAGTGTCTTTGCAACAAGTACCACAACTGTCTCTATTTACGTTGGATAACATCTGCTTCGGTGCAAATGATTTGGCAGGTAATCATGATCTCTCTCAGCAACATAACGACGCGGATATAATTCCTTCATTTGATCCGTTCAATGGAGGTAATTTCCACATTGATGAAAATGGTGCACAAGAGCTGTGGCAATGATTTCCTGAACGTGATAAATACTCTTTTATGATGTACAATAAATATAAATATTTATAAAGTGCGTTCTCACCAGTTACTGTTACGGTCGGCAATTGGGAGAGCCAACTAAATCTTTAGCGTAGGCGTGTTCACCGACCAGGGAGTTGGTAATTTTAGACTCGGCGGTTCACTGCCCTTACTCCAGTGATGTCGTTCTGACTGAATGCTTCGTCTACAAGTGACCTAATTTCATTAATTTTCGTGCGCTTTTCTCACTCCCTATACGATGTACTTCCTGTACTCGTATCTGGATAAGGGTAACCGTATTAGTATGTAAATTATTAACAACTATAATTTACGACGGAATCGAAGGGGAATAAATTGTTTCTATTTTTATAACAGGGCGGTCTCCGATCCGGTGTATTGACTAGTCAGTTTATCCGCCACTTGTTTCCTAAACTAATTAAACAATTTAAAATCTATTATCGACGCGCTACAATAATTAACTAAACTTGCTTTCCGTTATTACGTATTCGCTCAACGGACAGTTTCGCAAGCCTGAATGGGCTCTGGCTGCTTGACCTTTTCGCCTAAGAGTATGTAGGTATTGTCCGGATTAATTAGTAGCGAAGATAACGATAGGAAGAAATAAAATATACAGGATTCAAAATTTAAAGGGAACAATTATTTATTTCCGTGGATTATTAAGAACAATCGAACAACGCATAACATACACAACATGAGGGTTAACGATGGAATAGAGTCGCTTATATATCTTTTCTATCGCCGCTGTCGCCAATTTTTGAAACACTAATTTTTTTTCCTAATTAACCTTTTGTACTGTCTGAAACATCAAAATTATTTCCTAATTGGCTTTTTGTACTGTCGTCACCATCACCAATTTTTGAAACATCAAAATTATTTCCTAATTAGCGAATCTAAAATTAAATCGATCATATTAATATGACGACTGCGGGGGACTGCGGAGGAAGATTTTATCATGTGACTCACTTTTCTGCTTCAGCAGATCCGCTCGCCGTAACATTACTGATGAGAACACACAAACTGTTTACACAAGCATGTAATGTTTCAACCTTTATTTATAGAACAGCAGAAATAAGACCACTTACAGTAGTGACGGAAAATAATGAGAATTTTATGTAATTGCTTAATTAATATTTACACGTTCCCTGGTTTATTTAAATATGGAAAATATATGTATGGAAAGTTACATCAGATAACATATTTATAAATAAAATAATATTTAAACTAACAACGCGTTCTTTATTTACCTTCATAATTTTTTTTGTTAAAAATGCCTAAGCAACTTACTTTGCCCCAAAGGCGATCAGTCATAGAGAATTTGTGGAAAAGTGGAATTTATGATGTATCTCAGTTCCATAAAATAACACATATTCCTATATCTACTTTATACAAATATATCAAAAAACTTTCAATAACAGCTTCTCTGAAACCCAAATCCCGCCCAGGAAGGCCAAAAAAACTCACTGCGGAAAAGCGCATACATCTTGGAAAACTAGTAAGTTCAAGAAAATGTGCTAGCAGTAAAGAAATTGCTCATGTGCTTAACCAAACCTGCCCAAACCTTAATATTGCACCACAACCGTCCATGAAAACCTCTATAACCTTGGCTATCGCGTTTGTGTACCAGTTTCAGTACCAATGTTAACAGCCAATGCAAAGGATTGTTACGTCAAATGGGCAAAGTCTCATTTAATAAAAAGTTGTCTTTTCTGATGAGACAACCTTCCAATTATTTCGTAATACTACTTTAGGAAGATATAAAGTGGGACAAGAGAAAATCTTTTCTCTGATGCTTCAAACCTATTGGAAAAATTATGGATTTTCCAACAAGATAACGACCCCAAGCACACTGCCAGGTTAACAAAGGAATTTCTGGAAAAAAAGTCCAAAAGTTCTCGATTGGCCTTCTTATTCACCCGACTCAAACCCTATAGAAAACTTATGGGCAATAATGAAGAAAAGAGGGTAAATCAACTATTTTACAAAAAAAAATCAATTGAATTAGATGATTTTTTACAGATTATCCGACTAGAATGGGATAGCATCGATAATCTATTCTATCGAATTTATGTTCTGGAATGAAAATGCGTTTAGAAACTGTTATTGAAAAAAGGGGTTTAACAATTGACCACTAGATTTTTATTTTTATAAATTTACATCATTACTTATGTGCAGACAAAATTTTATGTAAAATAAATACAAATTGGTTGAGAAATAAAAAATTTAAAATTCTCATTATTTTCTGCCACTACTGTAATAGTTTATCTTATTACAGTTCCTTGCAATTATTTCCTGCGAGCTGAATTCTGAACACATCCTATTCTTAACAGTTTGTTGACCTGTCTCTCAACATGGTTCTTTAAAATTGCCCATAAATTTTCGATTGGGTTAGTATCCTTAGCTTTATGCTTCAGATCATTATTTCCAATTGGCATATTTTTCAGTTGATAAAGAGTACCGCAAGACCATTTACTGAGAAGGCACTCACACATGAACGTTATAGGGTAAGGGGTGTTTTACCATGGCCTTACTTGTGAATTCATGTGAGTCAAATTCAACCATTTAAGGCATTTTACCCTTTATTACACTACCATTTCGCTACTGTGCCATTTTTTGAAAGAAAGACACTGATTTGACAATAAAGTGCATATTTAAAATATTAATAAACTACTGTAGCTATTACTATTACTACTATGAAACCCTGCAAGCTCAAACAGTGCCCCTATGGAACTGACTCTAACAGCTCTACCCAAACCACCCTAGCTTCCAAAGGTCTTTAAAATATTCGGCTGGAAAAACACCTAACTTCCCCCATCCAACTTCTACCAGAATCCCACCTGCGGCAGATTCAACATCTGTCTTTCTTAGACCCACAACGAAATTTTGAAGAAGCCACTGAGGCTGACAGTTTTATTAGACAAGGTTCAAGATGTTAGCATCCCCACCAAAGGGAAACTTCCACCCCTCACACGCGTAGAAATAAACAATTTCAGCCTCCATTAAGCTGCTGAAATTTGTCAGAAATGCATGTTAAAAGTATTCCAGTTCAGATAGTCTTATTCTCAACTGATTTATGAATGCCTTCAATTAGTATTGCATACTGTAATTACACATTATACTTTTCAACCTTTTCCCGAGTACTCATGCCACCTATTTATTTAACATCTCAGACAGAAATTTAGTATTAGTAATATCGTGACTGGCCAGTCTTATAGTAGTATAATAATAAATGACTCAAACGTTATTTCGACTGAAGATTCAATTGTGCTGAACGATCGTATGAAATGCACTGATACTAAGTCGTTTAACGGAGCAAGTGTCATATCGTTCAATTATGTAGTAACTTCTTGATTTGGTCAAAGTTTCATGATTACGATTATTATTGACTAAACGATCGCACATATTATTGATTAATGCACAATCTTTGAAACGGTTGCCTCGGAAATATCAAATTGCTTCACTAGCGTAACTTTGCTAACATCTCGCTCTTTTAAACGACATATTTCAGCTTTCTGGATACCAGATAAACTTCTTTCTCTCTGTTTCAGCTTCGTGCTGTTTACGTTTATTCACCACGTGTTGGTATTATGATTGGTCAACATCCATCAATTTGAGCTTATAGTACGAAATTTACTGTATCGAGTCTTGACTGTATAAAAAAAGGCATATAAAACAGGGTATAAAACTGACGCACAGCACGCTTTGGCCTCAACTATATATAACGCACTTGATTGGTCAACTGAAATTTCGTAATTTGAAAAATCGCGATAATTGCTCATAATTGGTTAATATCAATTTGGAGAATAAATTTCGCCGACATTTATCTCTTGATCTATTTTCGATGACAACACATATTCGAAACTCAAAAATCATTGATATTATATTGCAAGAGACAAGAATTTTAGAAGCGAGCATTTTTGGCATAAAACTAATATAATAGTCGCGTCGCAATCCCAAATTATCCACGGACTTTTCTGAAAAAAATCAATCAAACGAAAAATTTGTATGGCGACAGGAAGTCGGCTATTAAATTGATTGGCAATGTCACACTGTTACTTGGCAATCAGAGAGATCCCGATGATAAGAACTAAGAAATTAGAATTAACCCAATTTTTTAGCCCATTTCTTAGTCCAGACAAAATTTTTGGAAATGTGAATGCCTGAAGATCTTTCAGAATTAGAGCAGATATGCAGAAGAATTGAAATTTTTTATTGGCTTGTTGCTCAAAAACAAAATCTGAATCAATGTTGGGCCCCCATTCTAAGGTTTGACCTGCTTCGGGATTGTCACACAGAATAATCTTTTAGAACGGGTCAAAGATCTCACCGTTGTTTTCTATTATAATCTCACATTTCCCTCATTTATTTTCGATACTGTTAATTAGAACACATTAACATTGCATAATGAAGAGATTGGGACTTGTGAAACCCATTTCACTAGTTCTATACAAATAGTATCATCCAGCTGC